AATCATGAATATGAAACACCATCTCGAAAAAAAATTGAAATAACAACTATTGGTAGTAATTATCATACACAAGTTAATCCAAGGTAATTCACAAAAATTTATTCTGTTTAAATTAAAATTTTTTAGTGATGTTGGTATTTATGACCGTGTTGTTATTCATGAATTAATTAAAACAATTGCACAAACTAAACAAATAAATAGTATAGAACAACGATCATTTAAAAGTATGTTAATATTGATATATTCAATATAAATATTGATTTAGAGATCTCTTTTTATATTGATTTTTCAAGTTATTGTTATTGTTGAAGTGGATAAATTAACACGAGATGCTCAACATAGTCTTCGTCGTACAATGGAAAAATATGTTAGCTCATGTCGTGTTATACTTTGTTGTAATTCAACATCACGAGTTATACCAGCTATTCGTAGTCGATGTTTAGGAATAAGAATGGCTGCACCGACAATTGATGAAGTATAATTATTTATTTATTAAGAAAATTTAATTTCTTTTTTTTTTAAAGATAAGTATAGTATTAAAAAAAGTAGCAAAATTGGAAGGAATAGAATTACCAATTGAATTAGCAAATCGTATTGGTGAAAAAAGTCAAAGAAATCTTCGAAGAGCTTTACTTATGCTTCAGACATGTGCTACACAAAAGTAAAAATTTTAATTTGAAGAAAACAAAATAAGGGATGTATTTCTATTAGAATTCCTTTGACAAAAGATCAACAAATAATTGAACCAGATTGGGAAATATATTTACGTGATACAGCTCGAATGATTAGTGAACAACAAACACCTCAACGGTAGATAAGATTCCTTATATTTTTAATTAGTTTTTCTTTTCTTTAGGATTTTTGAAGTACGTGAACGTCTTTATGAATTAACTGCACATTGTATTCCAGCAGAAATTATTTTTAAAGTAAAATTTGACTTTTTTAATATATAGTTTTGGGATTAAGGAATTTTATTGTTAGGGTTTACTTGAAGGACTATTAACTAATTGTGATGATGTATTAAAAATTCAAATAACACAAACAGCTGCTGAATATGAACATCGCCTTCGACAGGGCTCAAAAGAAATTTTCCATCTGGAAGCATTCATAGCTAAATTTATGTGTATTTATAAACAACATATTGACAGCAATAGCCACTAATCTTAATGAGAATTTTCGATTAATTAGTAAATTTAAAAATTTTGGTTTTTTGTGAATGTTGTTTTAATTAAATAAAATTTTAAATATTTATATAATGAATAGAAAATTGTATTATTGTACGTAAATCAAATATATCTACAAAAATTGAATATACAGCATCGAGTATACATTGTATGATCATTTAAGCAAATCTCTTAATCTTCTACCGTACTCATTTGCAATACAAGTGACTAATTCAATTAGTTTAAATTGGAAATATCATAATAAACACTATATTTGATGGGCCACATAGCAATATATTTCGATTGAGTAGACAAGATTTTTAATAGAATATAGAAGAGATATTTAATATATTCATATATATTATAATTGCATTAATTTTCCAAGTTGATGCTGTACGTCCGACCAATATATAACATATTTTGAAGTTCTACCTTATGAATATTGTCGGTATTTTATACAATTAATTTTATTTCATAAATCCGAAAATATAGAGTAGTAGGAGAATTCTTATCAGACATAATCATTGTTATAAATAATTTTTGTCAAAGTGCCATATATATACTTACTGATAAATACCTTAAAAGTTATAAATATCGTTCTATTGCAAATTTATATGTCAATTAAAATATTATTTTCGAGAAAAAACTAGAAACGCCCAATAAATAATATCAAATAAACTCACGCCATTCGTTTTCTGCATTACTTGAGAAAATCGAACATCTGTTTAAAATAAACTTCGATTATCGATATAAAAACATGAAATATAATTTTACTCTTTCTTATATCGTCATTTCAGAAGAAATTAACGAAAAACCATGCTACTTTCTTATTTAAATTTCCTCTTGATTTCCGGTGAGATTTTTCTTTAAAGATTCGTAGTATACAAAATCTGTTAGAATAGGTGTTGCATTAGCACAATATGAACGCGAACATACACCAGCTGAACGAATGAGACTCTTGGTATAATACGCTTAATATTTTCTTTTATAATTTTCATTTCAATTTATCAGGGTCCTTTGGCTTTTGGCAATTCTCGATTAGTATTTAATTGTCCAGCATTAGTTCCATCACCAACACTTCCAACTTCAGGTATTTATTACTTTTCATTTTCATTCAAATTTAATTTAATTATCCTTTTATTTATAGTACATGCTTTAAGACCAGCTGATATAAAACTTGTAGCATCCATGGGTGATAGTTTAACTGTATGTTTGATGATAGAACAATAGAAACTATTTAATATTCAATTATTTTAGGCAGCAAATGGTGCAAAAGCAAATTCAATTGTTGCTGTAATAGTTGAATATCGAGGTGTTTCCTGGTGGTAAAGAAAATATTTGAATTAGTTTTTCAATTAATTTTTTATGTTTTAGTATTGGTGGTGATGACAATCTCAAAAAAGTTGTTACATTACCCAGTAAATGTTTTGATATTGTTCAACGTTAAAATATTGCTTCTTTTCTTTCTAAATTTTAGATATTTTACGACAAATTAACAGTCAATTAAGTGGTTATTCTCAAGGAACTGGTGATCGAAATTCTTCCAAAGCTGGTTTTAATGTTGCAAAAGCTGGTGCTATTTCTTCGTAAGTTTAATTCATAATTCGAAGGAGTATATTATCTTTGTTTAAAGTGATATGCCAACTCAAGCTCATCTTCTTGTTGATCGAATGACAAAAGCATTAGGTGCTGGAAAATTTGCTGCAGATTGGAAATTAGTAACATTCTTTATTGGTGGTAATGATCTTTGTGGTTATTGCAAAGATACAGTATGTTTTTATTCTTTCTGGTATATCATTGATTTATATCTGTTGAATTAGAATCGATTTAGTACAGCTACTTATACGAATAATATTAAAACAGCATTAGATATTTTGAAAGCTCGTATGCCTCGTGCTCTTGTTAATCTTGTTGTTGTTCTTAATGTTGCTGAACTTGAAGATTTACATGAAGGTATTCGATGTCAATCATTACAAAAGTAAGATAGAGGATAGAAGACGAACTAAGAGAATAAATTAATGAATATATATAGTTTTATGTGTGATTGTGCTGTTAATAAGAAAACACGTGAACAAGTTCGTGTAGCAAATTTGGAATATCAAAAAGCAACAACTAAATTGATTAGTTCAGGTATTTATGATACATCGGACGATTTTACTGTTGTCCTACAACCATTCATGGAACATATGAAAGTACCAGCTACGGTATAAAAAAAACTTTTGATTCTTAATATATGAAAAATTTTTTTAAAAAAAATTTTATTATTTATTATAGAGCAATGGCTTAGCTGATTTTTCATATTTTTCGCCTGATTGTTTCCATTTCAGTCAAAAAGGTCATGAAGCAGCAGCTATTGAACTTTGGAATAATATGGTTAGATTCATATGTGAATAGTTTTTTAAATAATTTGTTCTATGTCTTATGTCTAGATGCAAAAAGTTGGTGAAAAAACAACTTCATGGAATTTATTGGATACACTTGAATGTCCAACAACAGTAAGTTACTGATTATTTTGTTTTATGATTATCACAAATATTTTTTTTATCTCTATAGGGCAATGGGTATATTTATACACGCAAGAATAGTGCTTGAGTTGAAAATAATCTTTTATTGGTTGTCTGAATTTGTTTTTGTTCTATATCAATAAAAGGAATATTGACGAAAGATAAATATCTTGACCAATCTATGATTATTTGATGCTTGAGAAAAAGATTGATCAAGGTCAAACGTTCGAGTTGAACGAGTAAGGAAACGAAAAAGAGAGAGAAAAAGAGAGTAGATGATATATAAAAGTAGTGTAAAGTTATTCATTCATTCATTCATTCATTCATTCAGAGAAGAAACCGAGCAAAATGCAGCACTATCTCACTTTCGTGATCTTTAGCATGTGCTATTTATTTATTAATGCACAAACAAGCAATACTACAGTGGTTGTCACAACTACCACTACTACTACTACTACTGTCAAACCTGTTGTCGTTGTTGCAACTACTCCTGCTGTTAAACCTGCTGAAGTAGTCGCAACTACAGCTGCTGTTAAACCTGTTGAAGTTGTGGCAACTACTGTAGTTGTTAAACCTGTTGAGGTTGTCGAAACTTCTACTATTATGAAAGTTTCACATGCGATGGAAATAACAGATGGACCTACTACTATGAAATGGATGGGCACAGATGATACTCCCGTTCCAATAATTACATATACAGGACTAACACCAGGTTCTCGACATGGACCATATGTTGAACCACCACCACATCCACTTGGCTATTGTATTCGTGGTCGTTTACGTTGTTCCAGAATTCGTCGTTGTTGCAATGGACCATGTAATGTTATTACAATGCGTTGCCCAGAAAATCAAAATGTACAATCTTAAAAATAGACTTTAGTTCATTTTTCTTTCAAGTTTGAAAGTAGTTGTTCATTTGCAATGTTCATAATTTTTTTTGTTGATTAAATAATAAACGTTAACACGTTGACTGTCTCCATACAAAAAATGAGTACTTGTTCTACGTCCATTTTTTAATTTTTTCTTAATTTTCAAATATATTATTTTTGAAATGTATTACGTTTATATACCACAAAAATAAGTTTTAAACATATCCTCGATGTGTTTTGCATGCAACACATATGATTCAATTGTCTCTCTTAGAATAATACTAAACTAACTTTATTGAAGAAACGATGATTATATATATATAAACGAGCCAGGAAGTACCAAACATTCTAGATATAAAATATCACTAAGAGGAGAATATACCTGAACAACATTAAGAGAGGGAAAAGGGCCAAGTGAAGAAAAGAAAAAAAAGATAGTACTTCTTATATAAGAAACCATTCTGCTTACTTTGTTTTAATGAGTGTCACTAAACATCATTACGGGAACTTGTGACTATTCTTTTATTTTCATTTAAGTTGGTAAAGAAGAACAGTTTATTTTATATTGAAACACTTTTGTAATAAAAACATCTGAAATTTAGCATTCACTTTTTTCTCAAATAAAAGCAAAGCGCAATGTTTTTTAGGATTTTATTATGTTCAGTACATTATATATGATTCAACCTAAAACTAGAATACTTCTTTACATCGTATCCATATATTTCAATAGTTTAAATATCATATGCAGCGCATGCATCATATGTGATGCACGGGACAGTCAACGTGATAAATATAATAGAAGATAAATGTGTGATATTTATGTCATGCATACCTCTATACTCTTCAGTCTATGTATATCAATTCTTATTGATTCTTGAATAAAATACTTCTATTTAAAGTGTATCTGTGCGATGCACATAAGTTAAAATATTTCACACATTAAAAATTGATCCTTTTTTGATACTTGTTAAACAATCTTACGTATACGAATTCCATCCTGAACTAGTTCTAATTAAGATTCTAATCTATACTAGTTCTTTTCAAAATTCTAATCCGTCTTAGTCCGCTGTGAATAGGACACATTAGAATTC